TGTGTGTGTGTGTGTGTGTGTGTGTGTGTGTGTGTGTGTGTGTGACTATAGGCATGGTGAAGTCAGAGGACAAATTTCAGGAGTCAGTTCTTTCCTTTCTACAGTGGGTTGTGAGGATAGAACTTGAGGTCATCACAGTGCTTTTACCTGTTGAGGTATTTTGCCAGTCCTATGCCCTAAGATATTTTTAATAACAATATAGTATTCGATTATGTGAATACATTATATTTTACCAATATCTTATTGGTAGACACTTGAGTGATTTATTTTTTGCCAACAACTGTCATAAATAGTGATGCAGTTAATCAATGAAGAAAGAATATTACACCTAAATAATGTATTCATCAGTTGATAGTGACACCCTACCCAGCTGTTCATGACCAGGGCCCAAATCTTACTAGATTCCTATCTATTTCCAAAATCTTTCTCCAGCAGTTATGCCACATCTGTGAACTACCTTATCCAATAAATTCCTTCAAGTAACAAAATCAGTATTTGTTGTTTGTGCTCAATGGTGTGTGTGTGTGTGTGTGTGTGTGTAATTTAAATAAAAATCAAGGCAGTTTGATGATAAAACAGAAAACTTACAAACATTTCCTGCTTTTAGGAGGGACTCTCTAGCTGGGGAGGGAATGTGTGAGGGCATCTTATCCACTTTCAGTTCAAGGAAGAGTTTGGAAAGCACAGTAAGGAGCCCAGGTAGCCACTAAGAGCAACACAAAGTTGACAAACCATTATCTGAAGGTAAAATATGTGGTGGTAGTACCATGATCTCATGAGTGGTATAAGGTACAAAAAAGAGATAGCACAGTCTAGTCTTCTCTATAAAACCCCAAAATAAAATGGTAAAGATTGCTCATTTTTTCCCTTAGAAATCTTTCCTTTGATAAGCAGATCTTAGTATCAATAAAGGCAGAGACATCTAGTCTTACTCAATGTGGGATTGATAGGTGCAGACACCGGACAGCTAAGTAAACCTAGCAACGTGCTGTTTTCTATGTGGGCATTATGGCCTCTCTCTAAGGCTCTGTTTTTAACTGTAAGCAGGGATAATATTTCCACTGCAGGTGCTATAAGGATTAAAGATCTGTGAGTACCAACTGCTATTATTTAAAAATATTCCATGACAGAATTAATGAATTATTTTGCTAAAGAGCAGGACGTGGTAGTTGAGATGATTCTATCTTAAGGTTCTTAGGCAGCTCTGCTCCTTCTGTCATTTAACTTTTATATAAATTTATTCTCTGAATGTTTAATATTCAACGTTCAAATATTTGGCATTAAGATAGAATTTTTAAAAGATACCAAATTGGGGGCTAGAGAGATGGCTTGGAGGTTAAGAGCCCTGGCTGCTCTTGCAAAGGACCCAGGTTCAATTCCCAGTACCCATATGGCAGCTAACAACTGTCCTTAACTCCAGTTCCAGGGGATCCAACACCCTCTTCTGACCTCCTGGGGCATTGTATGACAGGGGTGCACTTACATACATGCAAGCAATATACTCATATACACAAAATAAAAATACCAAATAAAAATTTTCTTTAAAGATACCAAATGGACTGGTATAATTACTTTCTCTCTATAGTCTGACCATACTAATGGAAAGAATGAATTATAACTGTAGGAATTCCAACTAAGTCCTTCCTGACATTAAAACAGAGTAAAATCATTATGTGGTATGATATATGATAGTTCTGTCCAGTGACTACTGCTGCTTGGTTCTCATTGGATCAATGTAACTCTAATGCCCATTTGCTGAAATTAAACATTTTTAGGATTTCTAGCATTTTCCAACTTTTCATTTGCCTGTTGTGCAGTAACTTATCCACTGAATAAGCAATGTGACTTTCATTTGTGGACTCTATATTTTATTTTATTTTAATTTATATTTTATGTGTACAAGTGTAATACCTGCACATACATGCAATGACCGTGAGGGGCAGAAGAGAGCAGTGGATTCCCTTGAACTGGAGATATGGATGGTTATTAGCTGCCATGTGGGTGCTGGGAACTAAACCTGGATCCTCTGCCAAGAGTAGCCAGTGCTCTTAACCACTGAGCCATCTCTCCAGGTCAGATCCTATATTTTATAGAGATATGTGAGACCATACACACATGCACACACACACACACATGCACACACACACACACACACACACACACACGAAAGCAGGAGGAGACTGAGGGAAGACGTAGCAGGAGTGGAGTGAGGAAGACAGAAAGAGAAGGGTATGGGGGGCTGCATATGACCAAACCTGAAAGAAATAAACCTGAAAGAAAATGTCTTTTGAAACCCAGTGTTATGTACAACTAATATGTACCAATAAGAAAGAAAAATAAGAAGCTACTCCTCCAAAAAATCCAAAATAAACTTTTACTAGAAAAAAATTAAAAAGCAAAAACTCTAAGTAAGTACTAAGCACAGGCACCTTGATTAGCAGTAGAGAAAGAATGTGAACAAGAAAAACATGGACTGCTCTTTGTAACTATTAAGTGTTAAAAGCAAACATTTTAGATCCAATGGGATTACTTAACAGTATAATACCATGCAGTACCTGTTAGTACAGAATCCTTTTTTGAAATATTTTAAGTGTACTATTTGCTGAAATGACAACAATATCAAAGTCATTTAATATCATTTAAAAATTACATAGGACCAATAGTCTTCAATTTGGGGATCCGTACTTTGAGGGGAATCAACCACTCCCTCAAATCCTGCAGCTCCATCTCCCAGAACACCAGCAGACTAAAGCTGGGGTTTCCTGCCGGACCAGTAATCAGAGTGGCTAGCCCCATCTACTCACAAATTGAGTACCTTCTCCAGCACCCACCAATTCAGCTGCTAATTTCACTCTCTGGGAAACTGTGCCAGTCATTGCATATGAATTTAGTTCACCCAGTCACACTATTTTCCTCAGTGATCATTGAAGAAATGAGCCAACTGGCACTCTGAACCACTTGTTACACAAATACAAAGCTCAGGCTAGAGTGTGGCTTGGCGGTAGAGCTAGTTTGCCTACCATGTGTGAAGCCCTGGGGTTCTATGCCCAGCACTGGGTTCTATGCCCATGGGTGGATTCGGTGCTGAAGTTAACATTCCTAAGTGGGTATCATTATTTCTATTTTAAAATGAAAAGGTACTTAAAGTAAGACAAAGCATCATATGGTTTCCAATTCACTCTATGTCTTTAACTCCTGGCCAAAGATAAAGAGACTATAGGAATGAAGGAATTCTGAAAATGGTGTCTTCTTTTTCCACAAAGCCTACCACATAGTTTTAAGAATGGAAGGCACATTATACTCAGCAAAGCAGACACATTAGCCCGACAAACTGACATGGGATGAATGTCTCTGGGCACTGGAAACTGCTGAGTCCATGTACATAAACAGGCTCCAGCACTGGTCCTGACAGGGCCATGCAGCTAATGCACTGATACTGGCCCTACACAGTTTTCCATGCTCAATAGTGAGTGAATACAATAAGCAACAAATAGCAGATTCTAATTTTTTTTTCTTTAAACAATACAAGAAAAGGGGAGAAGTGCCTTGCAGATTTAGACAGGAAAGGTTGCTTCTAAAATTAATTCTCCATAAAGCTCGAAAAGATACAACTAAAGGGGAGGGGGGAATCTGATGGAAAGGACTAGAAAGGTACAGAGAGGCACAGATACATATACATGCCCAAATATAGCATCTCAGTCCAGATTTACATGGAGCAGAAATGGCTCAGAAAACTGATGGAGGTACTAAGAGGTACAAAAGTAG